TTGACTCCTTCTTTCTCATTGATGCCTATTAGTCTCACATTGTCCATCTTTGCATCATCTTGCAGGTGATGGACTATTTTTTCCTGGATCCTCATTGTTTTTAAGAGATCCTTTCTTGCCTTTTCACTAGGTACACCAGAATCTTCAAGATCTGAAGCTCTGTCTTCACTTTCATTTAAATAGTTTTGCAAGCTTGTGATTGAGATTTTAATTTCCTCTATATCTCTTTGATTCTCCTTCATACGATCTATTTCTTTCCTGTATTGCTCATTCAAGGAATCCATTATTTTCCTAATCTCCTCTATTTTTTTATCAATGTCTTTTGTAGAAACAGTTATAAATTCTTTTACTGCAGTGTTTTTTTCAGATTGGGCTTCCTCCCTATGTTTTTTATAGTTGATTCTTTACTTCAGATGCTATGAGTTCGAGTATTCTTTTTTATTTTAGAAAATAATTCCTCTCTGAGTTACTCTATAACTTTCTGCTGTTGCTTATTTACTATCGATGCTATCATTACTTACATTTGAGCTGAGCTAGTAGAAAAGAATTCCGCTCTGATTTCCTCTATGAGTTTCTGCTGTGGCTTACTTACTGTCGACACTATTAATTCATACATTTGAGCTGAGCTTGTGTCCTCTGCACTTGTTCTGGGTGGGCATTGGTTTTCCTCCATATGTTTCTGCATTTGATTCTTTACTGCAGATGTTATTAATTCAGGGATTTCTTTTTTGATTTCCAGTCTGAGTTCCTCTATACCTTTATGCAGCTGTTTCTTTATCTCAGAAGCTGTTGATTCATTGCTTTCAGCTGTGTGATTCCCAGTTTGTTCTGTGTTAGTGTCCTCTGCACTTGTTATGGGTGGGCTTGGGTTCTGAGATTCCATTTTGTTCCTTCTCATTATCATTTTGTATTGCACTGTCTTCTGACCTTTGTTGTAGATCTTTGTTTCAGTTATAACCTTAGCATGTACTGAAGTTCAGGTGCAGATCTACAAATTTGGATTTATCCAGTTGTGTGTGGCTTGAGTCTGGCTGCTGTGCTCAACTCCTTCCTGCTGCTGCCTTTGAGGGTGAATCTGTTGTTCCCCTCTGGCAAGATGTTCTGCTCCTGGACTAGCTGGGTGGTTCTGTCCCCTACATTCTCTGTAGGGATTGTAGCTGCAGGGTTTCACCACAGGCCTATATGCCAGGCCTGAGCTGAGTCTGGAGGAGACAAGGTGGAGTAGGGTGGAGAGGCAGCTATCCCACACACTCACTGGGCCTGGACTAGGACTAGATCTGGGGTTTCCCAGAAAGGGACAGAAATTCCTACTGTGTGGGCAGGGTGGTGTGGTACTACAGTGTAATAGGTGGTGTCCCAAGAGGGTTAAAGAGGGTGTCTCCCACCCTGTGCCTGGGCTGGCACCAGTAGTCCACACCAGCACAGGGTTGCCGGAAGCTCTTTCACACACTCACCGGGCCTGGGCTAGGACTGGGTCTGGGGCTTCCCAGAACATGGCAGAAATTCCTCAGAAAGAAATATTCTGTATTTATTATAGTGAATAATTATAAAAACACCAACATCCATCGATGGACGAATGATTATGCAAAGTGCTACAGTGCTGCTAAACCATGGAATACTATACAAGCACCACTAAGTAGACGGAAATCTATGAACACATATCAGAACGGACATTAAGCAATTTATATGCATTGTTTCATTGAACTCGCACAACTACATGGCATTCTTATTTGATTAGCAAGGACTCAGACTTGTCCAAAATGACACAGTCAGTAAATGGTAGAAAAATAGACTTCATTTCTGCAGAACACAAATGCATTTCCTTATCTAGTTACATTGTAGTAGCTCATAAACACCATATATATTGTGTTATCTCTCATGAAGATTTGGTTCAATTTGCACACCCATGGAGAGTAGGAAAAGAAGTATATAACAGTGAAAGCAAACATCTACATGTCAATGGTAAGTTGTATTTGAAGAACGAACTTTCTTGCACTTCCTATGACTGTAAGAAAATTGTAGACAATATAAAAAGATACTATCTATATAGGCTAACCATGTCAGAGATTTTCATGTACTCTCAGAGCAGGTCCTCTATATAAAGTGACAAGCTGTAAGCAAAGTAAAAGACATACTTTTGTTCAAATATAATTATTTATAATGTAAAATATCATGTGAATGCTTATTTTTACAACTTCTTGTTTTCTTTATATTTACAGATGGACAAAAGAGAAAGAAATCTTTGAGAAAGAAACTGGATTCCCTAGGAAAAGAGAAAAACAAAGACAAAGGTAAAGGATAGATAACTAAAGTGAAAGTATCTTCCATGGAGTGTAATGGTTGAATTTGGTGAGAGTTTTGAATCACATAGAATTATGTGGTTCAGTTCTATTATGCAAACTGGATTTCCATGATGGAATGTCATTAAGTATTGTTTTGGTCTACTCTTCTGTGAGTGTCCCTGTGCTGAACTGATGAATTCAGCTGGTTTGAGCATAGTATGACTTTTGCCAAATTTATGGTTCCAATTATTTTGGTCAATCAGCTATGCATAAAAAATGACCTGGATCGAGGAGCCATGGACAGTGTCACTAACACTAACCAGCTGTCTGGCAAATTCAGACAGGCAGGGCTAGTTGAATGAAAAAGATTTTGTGTTGCCCACCATAGCTAGCAAGAGAAACAGTCTCAGCCTCATGGGTGATAGAAGATGTGCCATTCTCAGCATTTTCATGTCAGAAAATAGCATGCTGATTTTTCACCCCATATGTTTTCAGACTTGCTGACTTTCATGCATTTCATGTGCCCTTCTGTGTCTATTCAGAGAATTGACACGCTAGCCACCCTTTCAGAGATATTTATGGTCATTTTCAACTAATATTCTCTGAGCCTGCATAATGGTCACCTGGCCTCTATTAGCACAGCCCATTTTTGTGGTTTTTTTCTTGTGTTATCATATGAGATGATCGTTGAATGGTGTGATCATATGAATATATTTTCATTTTATGTGACATGGTGAATGAATGTGGAATGAGGATAAACATGTCTCACCTTTGAGGCCTTTTCTGTAGTGATTGAATTTCTGCTTGAAAAATGGTGGGAACAGTGAAAGAATTTTAAAAATAAATACATTATGATCAGTACTGAACAAAAGCTATTCCACAGCACTGATACCAGTCACTATATCTGTGTCTTGAAATGTGCCTTAAGAATCATGACACTGGTTCTTGATGTTTGGTGAAGAATCCTGAAGAGTGGAACATCATTGTTTTGTTTCCTTAGGGGGATATTTCTTGCCCTTATTATTGACATTTAAATGGAAAAAGTCTTCTTGATAGGGATTGTGCTGTTTATTGTTGGGTGCTTAGCAGAATCCATGACCTCTACTCAGTAGATGCCAGCAGGACTGCCTCAAGCTAAAATACTTCCAGCTATTTCAAATGTTTACCTCAAATTGTCATAAGGAAATGAAAACACTGGATCAGAAATATAGCTCAGTGGTACAAACATCTGCCTGGAAGTGGAAGGTCCTGAGTTCAATTTCTGGTGAACCCCCCCCCCAGTAAACAAAGCACCAAGGAAGTTAAAGCATCAATGATGCCTACTCTGGATTGTACCCCAGAAATTCTATACCCAAGGGCCTAGAAGTACACTTCATAGATACAGTGTTTTCGCAGCATACACAACTCCCTAGATTCTATCTCTAGCACTGCACAAAACAAAATAGCAATCACACACACACACACACACACACACACACACACAATACATAGTCCTCAAACTCACGTAGTATAAGGCCATTAGTCTAAAAGAGGTATGAGTCCATTGGTCTCATGTAACTTCTAAAATGAGAACCTTGGTTCATATTCAGCAGACTAGTCAGTAGACCATGTCCTATCCCAGGAAAATCTGCCCTTAAAATAGTGAAGGCAGGGGGCTGTCAAGCTGCATACCATTGTCCAAAAATATTGTATTATATTTAATTGGTTGATTGTCACTACACTTATTTTCAATGTCTTGAATATTAGCATCCAGCATTACTCTTCCAGAGTTTTTGCTCACTCTGTTTCTGCGGTGTGGTACACTTACCTAAAATAGACAGTTTTCTGTATGAATATTGTATTTAAGGAAATATTCAGGTTGGTACAACTGTCTTGCCCTATTCCCTGTAGATATATTCCAAAGATGATGCAGGGAAATCCAAAATCATGGATAGTTCTAAACCGCATATGCTTTCTTCTATATATACATACAAATCTATAACAAAGTTCAATTCAAAAACACAGACAGAAGAAATTAACAATGATTAGCAATGACTAACATTAAAGTAGAATGATTATTACAATATACTATAATATAATTTATCCAGGCATGATGGTGCACACCTGTAATCCCAGAAACTCTGTGGAGTCAAGGGAAGAAGATCACAATTTGGAACCCAGGCTGGGCATCTTTTTTTTTTTTTTTTTTTCAGAATCAGGGATTGAACTCAGGCCCTTGTGCTTGCCAGGGAAGCGCTTATTCTACTGAGCCATCTCCTTGGCCCCAAGACTGGGCATCTTAATGACTCATTGAGACCTTGTCTCAAAATTAAAATTGAAGAAAAGGACTGAGGATGTTACTTAGTGTTAAGGCCCTCGGTTCAATCTCCACTACTGCGAAACATTAATTAATGAATTAATTAATTTTGTTTTTACAGTTACTTAACATTTATGAATTCCTTATTTTTATAGTTTTCTATTTAATATTTTTGCACCACAGTTGACTATGAGTAACTGAAACCAGGGAAAGTGAAGGCACAAGTAAAGAAATTCTACTGTACTAGCAATGTACTATCTTTTAAAGGAGAACAGTGGTGTTGATATTGGCCTATAAATACTTTCTTGAACTGGCCTAAACAGAATGAGCATTTCTGCAGAGAGCGATGTTTACATTCCCTCAACAGAGATAATGATGGTGGTTTGTGTGTGTGTGTGTGTGTGTGTGTGTGTGTGTTTGCTAATGCATACAAACATCAGGACACACAAACATGAATGACCTGGAAGGGAAGGCCAGGAAAGTAATTGACCAATACACACTGGGAAAAAAATACACACTGGGCCACTACAGATATTTCAGACCAAAACATACTTATTCATGCCCAGGAATCTGACTGGAAAGAAGAAGGCAGATTTTTGTGGTTTCAGAAAAATGCATTCATTCAACTAAGGAGAGAAATATCAAGTTTCATGGTAAAAAAAGATATATATATATATATATATATATATATATATATTAGCCTTGATGTTTAAACATAAGGTATCCTAGGCTTAAGGGAAAGGTAATTACATGCCATCTTTTCTAAACATAAAGCCCTGTTTATGTCAACAGCGGGTGCATCCTATGGATGGCTTGAGAAACAAAGCATGAGGTGGTGGCATGCAGGTCTGGCACAGTTGTAATCGGTTCATATTATTTCCTTCCTTTGCATATTAGCATTTGGGTTCATAACAGCTGCAAATGTGAAAAATGATCAGCATTTGAATCCAAGAGTAAAAGAAGGAAAACAGGAAACTCTAAATGAGCTTTGGGATTAAGCCATCTAAAAATAAAGAGGTGCAACTCTTTAGAGTCAAGTTGCTCTCCTAATAAAAAATGATTCACAAATGTTTGATATGCCACTACATTAATTGATTCCATCAAAATGAATCATGCTCTGTATGATATTTAATAGTCTTGATAAAATAAGCAGCTGATCATGTGACACTCCTGTGTCCCTCCTGCCATTTAAGCAGTTCCCATATAACTTCTGATTTCCATATTGAAACTAAACAAAAATTGACAGCAGTTCAGAAATTAAATAGTTTCAACTCCTTGATGTCTCATAGTTTAATGAAAAATGTTTTCAAAACTTTTAAAACTTCAGAGAGTTTCTTGTATCCAAAAGATATCAGTTTTTTGAAAGAAGGTTTAACACAAGCTACTTTGATTCAGTTATAGTGCTTCCTAATCAGATAACGTGGAGGTGAGACTTTACTCTGGCATGCCTCTGGGAGCTAAGACATTGCCAGATTATGCCACATATTTATCAACATAAAATCTGAGAATTCAGTTCTGGTACCTTTATACTGAAGCCTGTTTATGCCAAACTTTATCGGTATCCACAGTCTAATATGTCATTATAAGTGAAATTTGAGGGAACACTAAGAGCAGATGATATAAAATTTCTGCTTTATATTAAGCAGAAATAGAAGTATCAATTTTTGGGATATATGAACTTTCAAAGAAAACAGATTGTACACAGTCACTGAGTGCTATAACTAGAGAAGGGAGAACCAGAGGAAAGATGGTTCCAAGGAAGGCTAGCAATGAGCCAGCTCACACAGAACTATATGAGCCACAGCACAACTTTTGGTCTGTATACTAAGAGTATTGAGATACCATCCAAATGTACTAAGGAAGGAATGATGTTTTAAAACAGGTGGCTAGTGTAAGACACAAACTTGGGAAAGAGTGTGACTCCAGTGTAAAAGGAGGATGGCTAAGTAGAAGAGGTAGAAGGCTATTTGGAAACCCAGGAGTAAGATGATGGCACCATGCACTGGAACTGGAGTGCTGGTGGAAGTGGAAAGACATACATAGAAATGAGAGATCACATGAGAGTGATATGACAGGACGATGAAGCAGAAATGCGATATGAAAAGGAGAGAAGTATTACTCAGAATTCTTAGTCTCTCCTGTGAAGAACAGAGACCACTGCAAATCTGAGTCAGACCTAGGAGGGGGACACAAGGAATAAGAGATGCCTTAGGGATGTCCCAGTGTCAAGGAAGAAAAAGTGGTTAGTGCCCAGAGAAAAAGTCCAACTTTGAGATAGCAATGAGGTGTTAAATTCTGGTGAAGGTAAGGTCCAGGATGGGAGCAAGGGAGTTGATGATGAAGGCATGAAAAGATAAGAAGAAAGGAGGAGATCAAGAAAATATGAAGACAGATGGATAGGTGAAATAGATGAATAGAAAGTCTCTAATGATGAGTCAAAGTGAGTGACAAAGAAGATTAAAAAGATCAGGGAACATGAAGAACCTTGTGACAGTGGGTTTGTGCCAGGGGTGGGAGGGTGAGGGTCTGGAAGAAGCAGTCAGGGGCAAAGAAGAGAGAGAGAGAAAGAGAGAGAGAGAGAGAGAGAGAGAGAGAGAGAGAGAGAGAGACAGAGACAGAGACACAGAGAGAGAGACAGAGACAGAGAGACACAGAGA